GCGCGCGGCCCGTGTGTGTGTGCGCGCGGCCCGTGTGTGTGTGTGTGCGCGGCCCACTCTCACCTCTTCCCTCCTCTCAGGACATGGCGAAGAGCCTCAGGAGCAAATGGAGGAGGAAGATGCGGGCAGAGAAGAGGAAAAAGAACGCGCCCAGGGAGCTGGAGAGGCTGAAGAAGATCCTGGGAACCAAAGCTGATGTCATCATGGAGGAGGTCAAGGAGGTGGCGACCGTGCTGCCCCCCGAGAAAGTCCTGGAGCAGAAAGGTGAGTTGGGCTCTGGCTGGCCTTTCCTGCTGCAATCGCCCAGGTGGAAGGAGGCCCTGCAATGTTGTGACTCGTACTGTGACTTTTTCACTGCCGGGATGAGGTGTGCGGTTGTTACGGGTTGAGAAAAGTGAGTCTGAAAACTTTTAAAGCTCTCAATTTGGTCATTTCTCAACACTGGCATCCATATTGCATCGGTTACTTGTGGAACAAGGTTATTAACACTGGATTTTTAGTGTGTAAAGTATGTAATGTATTGTATGGAGTGACATCTCTGACAACATSAGGTGAGTGAGGATTTAACCCTTAGCAGTTACTCCAGTCACAGCATTGTATTTGCTGTTAAAYTGTCCTAATTTAAGGCTATTAAACATGGACAAGTTGGGGTAGGGGTCATGCAGACCCAGTTCTGAATGTGGATTAGTGCTGCATTGCACATGGTGCAGGAGTGGGTGGTATTAGGGTGTCTACAGATAATGCCCTCTTCCTCTTTGTGCCTGGAATCGAATGTAAAGGAAATAACCTCGGAAGTGGAAGCAAAGGTTTTAAATAGCTGCATACTAGATAGGAGTCAGACACCTTCTCTTTCCAAAAATGATGTCCAAAATAAATAATAGTAGTTTTTTGATTCTCCAATTTATGCCACTTAAGATGTTCTGATACTGAAAATGGAAATGGAATGTAATATGAAAATGCTCACCCAATTAAAGGTAGCTTCAGTTATAATTTGTAATTTTTTCCAGGTTCTGAATTGGCCCACACACCAGGTGTAAAGGTTTCGTTTCTGAAGCCAATGCATGGCTCTCTGGATGTGGCACTCAGTGCCAYGGTTTAGTTGATGAGGAGGTATTAGGTCATAGGCTGGACTTGATGGTCTTGAAGGTCTTTTCCAGCTTAGTTCATTCTGTGTAATTCTGTGTGATCAGTCATGCCTGCACCTCTTTCCATCTTTGCTGGTGAGTTCTCTACAAGTGGTCAATTTCACTTGACTTTTGCAGAGAGATAGCAGCCTCAGAAGCACCAAAGAATCAAAACAACTACAAGTMTTGTGAAAATAATGGTGTCTTCTTTGAGAGGACTTTTCAGAACTAACTGTGGATGCAAGGGAGTTGGCATTACCAAGTGTTACAAGAACTGAAGTAGATAAAAACTTCATCCTATGTTCTKTCCACTGTTAGGGAAATAATTTTCCAGTCAAAGTAAGTATATAGGTATATATTACAGACATCTTACTGTGTTACTTCAGAACATTTTTTACAGCACTCTGGATCTTTTTTTTTTCTTCAACTTTTCTTGTTAGGAAAAAAATAATGTAAGGCCTGCTTAGCCTTTGTAGCTGTTTTTAAAATTTTGTGGGCATGCACATATTCCTCAAGGTAATCATGTCTATTAAATCTGCTTCAGTAACTGATTTTATACCTTTTTTTCCCTCTCATTGTCTTTCTCTCCTTTGATAGGTTTTCTTTATGTCCTTGAATGACTTCTGTTCAGTGGATTTCTTCCCGTAACTGATCTCTGCAGCATCCTTGAGATTGCAAAACAAATGAAACGCTGTTCTATCTGAACAACTGGTATTTTTAGTCCAGGAGTATTCGTTTAGTTTATGTTGCTGCTGGCATTTATTGTGAATGTGCTTTTTTGCATTCCMAACTCATGTAACAGATTAACCTGTTTTATGATAGCACAGGAGTCAGAGAAGGAGCTTCTGTACGTGGTGCTGGGTGTTTTGGTGGTGTGTTGGTGGAGGCTGTATCTCCTGTGCCATTTAGAAAACTATSCTGTTAAGAAGGTCTTGTATTTCTCTGACACCTTGTGATGTTTGCAGAGCTGGGACTTCTTGCTGCCTGTCCCATGCTGAATAGGCTTTTGGTTCTGCCACCAGGCCCCTGTTCTGATTCTCTGCTGATTGCAGGTATTTGTACCCCACTTTTATGACTCTATAAGCGCACCTCTGGATTCCTGTACACTATCAGCTTCATCCATTGAAGCAGCACATTTGACCTTTTGTCTTGAGCTGTGTCTCCCAGCATCAGAGAGGCACAACAGAAAAGTCATTTTTCTTCTTCATAACACTTGCAGTAAGGCTTGACTTCCACACATACGGTTGGGGTACAAGGTTGAAATAAATTTACAGAGCACACAGTTCCAGTCAATACTTAGCAAGGTGTTGTCTCTCTGAGCCATGATGTTCATGGGGTGTTAGCTAGCTGGGGACTCCATTCCTGGCAGTGACCATGTCACGGGCAGTCTTTCTGATCCTAAGATTAATCCTCTCTTGCTGCCTGTAAATGTGTTAGACCTGATGTCATGCTGACTTCTTAAGGCAAATGTGGCATCATTGGCTGGTACTTCCTACTGTCATTTTTTTCAGTGTTTCTCTTTACTCTTGTTTTTACCTGCCTTCTTCCACTCAGAACAATTTTCTAGAACTGATCTTAAACATTACATTATAGCAAGTGTATAATTATGCATATGTTTCAGTAAGCCTGTGGCTTCCTGTATGGTTGCATGTCTCCATGATGGAGCACACAATGTTCCTAGACACAGGATTGGAAGAGATTGCAGACTAAAGAATAAGACGCTTTGTCCAGACTTGGCCTTTACCAAAAATACTGCATATTTGCTATCAACTGTGGAAGTTCCTAGGTTGCAGTTGCATTGGTTTGGAAAGTTCTTTCAGTACAGAAACCCTTCAGCTCTCTATGTAAAGATACTGTTGTGTCTAGGGATATTTTTATMATTTCGGGGAATGTAGTAACAAAATAGCTTCCTTGAAGTTGATTTAGGTATTTTACTCACTATAAATGCCTTTCATTTTCAGATGACTGCAAAATGGAGCTGGATAATAAACGAAACAAAAAAACTCTTCTAGACCAGCATGGACAGTACCCAATATGGATGAATTCCAGGCAGAAAAAGAAGCTTAAGGCTCAGCGTGTTAAAGGGAAAAAAAAATCGAAATTGGCGAAAGGCCTAGTGTGGTAAAATCAGTTTTGTAAGATCATGAATATATTATTTAACAAAATAAATCTGCCACATAAATTCATGAGATTTTGTGCTTGGACACTGAGTACAGTTTGTGTTGAATGAATTTTTGAAGAGACTCTTAGGCCAGCAACTGATGAAAGAAATAGCTTGGTGTCTGCCAAACTTTAAAAGCAAGTGTGCTTTTGAATAGACTAACTGCAGTTATCTGTTTTCCTGCAGGGGTAGTGGGGGAGGAGGGTCTTCATCTTTTCTATTGTGAACACCAAAAACAGTAAAGAAAATCCTAAAAGAATTTAAGAAAATGTTTTTTGTAAAGATATTTTGTTAAATATCTTTGTCAGTGTAACTTATCTTTTAGTAAATATAACCAGACGATTCTGTATATATGCTGTGTCCTTTAAATCCTCCTGTAAAATTTGTTGCCCTGACTTGTGTTGCTTTTAACATCTGTTAATTAACAAAAATATACTTTCTTATGTAACTAAAGTTTGTATGCTGAAATCAGCACTGAGGCCTCATGAAACTTCTGTAAGTAAAATGAGAAAGTGTCAGCCTGACATTAATTTGCAGAGAGAAAAACAAAATATTTCACTGCTGTCTGCAACAGAAATATTATAGGAACTATATAACTGAAAGTACAACTGATTCTTTTATTATTAAAAGGAGAGAACACAAATGCACAGAATGGAAATAAAATAGTTCTATTTAAGATCTTTTCCAAATTCTAGTAAAGTAAATGAGAATTTTCCTTTCCATATGGATTTTCAGTAGCGTTTTATTCTCCTTGAAATGGTACTTAGCTGTCATGCTTTACAATGTGTGTATAGGACAAAATACTGCATGATTGTGTAACAGATGCCATTTATATGATTAGCTACAGTTGGGTGTGTATTACTTGGCAATAACATGTGATGACAGATGCAAGGGTTAGTTGCCCTGAAAGCTTGTGTTTTTAACATGTCTCTCAAGGATGGAAATAATTACAGTACTGACCCTGCAGTATGTTGCCTTTTCAAGTACCAGTCGTGTACAGGGCGTAACCTTTGTCCAGCCTTACCCAAGATGGGATCCACATTCTGTAGTTGCCCACAAATTCTGATCTGTATCTGTTGTGATAACTTGGGCATAGGAAAGAAGATTTATTCTTTTAATTACACGAGGTAGTAGTATGCTAAAATCCAGTAAGAAAAACAAAGTGTTTTAGAAAATTAAGTTTTTCTGGAAAAATACAATGTGTTTGTTATTAGTATTGTTAGGGGAAAGGTACTCTTACATAAAAACCTACAAAGATACAGAAGGAAAAATGCATCTTTTGTTTTCACATAAATTGACAGTTAATGACTTGGTAAGATATATAGGTCACATATTACCAAATTATATGCCATTAATAACTTCATATTTTGAAAATATTTCCATTAAGTTGATAAAAGCCCTGCTAGTTGATAAAACTAGCTTTTCTATCATTTTTTTGCCTCACTAGGTAAATGGATCTAGATTTTGCTATCAAATTAATCTGTTATTTTAGTAGATTAGGACTACTTTAAAATTGATTCATGTGGAGGAAAGTGTTTATGAATGCGTTTAACCAGGAATGGAATGGAATGAACAGTCAGATTGTGTTTACTTACTATTRTAGCAGCCTAGGCTTTGTTTTGCTTAATACATGCTTTGGGGAGTTCATGAGGGGAGCTTCCTGGGCTTAAGTGTGAAAAAACTACTCTTTTTTCTATAGAGTAAGCACAGTGCTATTTTTGACATGATTGATTGTAAATCACGTGACTTTCAAGCAGCTCCTGGTGGGAAAGGGGGCTGCTTTTCCCAAGTGGAGATTATCAGGCTGGCAAAGTACTCCTGTTTAGATGTACAGCTTCAGAGTCAGTTTATTCTCATTCTTTAGGTGCTCAGCTATACTCTGCCTTATCTTCATCAAGCCTGCCACCGCTGCACTTGCCTTAGCCTGTCCTCTCTCTGGASTTGTTTCATTGCTGCTTCCTCTGTAAGAGAAGACGACCCTCATAGTTTTGCTTATTTGTGCTTTTATGACCTAACCCTGAGCTCTGTTGTGCACATTTGTTAATCAACTGCTTTAGTGATTGGATTCAGAATTTGAATCTTGAGTGGAAGACAGCAGATGCTCCACTGATCTTTTATTCAGAAGTTGCTTCCTTCCTGGAACAACACTGGCTGTGTGAGGTATTTCCTTCATGGTGTTCAGAATAAAGTCAAAAGTGTTCACTTAAACTACAGTTATTTTAAGACATCCTGTTTGATATTTGAGGTGAAATGGAGGATAAGGAAGRAATAAACACCCATCTTTACTGGAATATAACTCTTAGTCTAGTACCAGTGCATTGTGTACAATGTCATACTTCACTTGGGTGAGGCAGAGCTTTCTATGGGCCAGGAAACGTTTTTGAGAGCTTGTTTGGGTGGCATCCGTCATCCAGGCTGAAAGCTTGCTTGTAGACAGACAGAGGGAACCTGCCTAAATGTGCAGCATGGATGTAACCTCAGAGGYTGAGTCATGGATACAGCAGGGAAATTCTACTTTCTGGGATTTGGGCACACATTATATGGGTATATTGAAATTTTATTTGGAGTTTGTTTCAGATCTGCCATAACAAACTCTTATTTTTTGATTGGAAATACCAAATTATGTAGTTGCCTTTGAGTATTTGATTCATACTGCTGAATCTGAAACTTTTCTGTTTGAATCAATGGAAAAAATTATATTTCCTTGCAAGGAAAGAATTTAAACATAATTGAATCTGTCTGAAATACATACTTTAAAAGCCCATAGATGGATTTTCAAAGAATTAATTGATCTGCTCCTGAACAGCATTCTAGTACCATAATTCATTGATCCTTACATAATAAAAGTTCTTTAGGTCAGGATTGAGGGAGAAAAGGTTGCAGTTGATTAAACAAACTGATGGAAGTCTAAAAGTGTATAACTTAAATGGCACTGTCAGAGTTGTGCTGTTTGGGTCTTTTTAATTCGGTAATTGTGCTATTATGAAACTTCTTAGTTGCAACTTCCCATCACTGTGACTCTACTACCTTCCTGGAAAGTGCTGTGGTAGCTGTATGTCCTGACCTGCATGCAGAAGACATGGGAAATAATGCAGGGACTTTTGAACTACATGCATAAGAACCAGCAAAGAAAGAATTGAATGCTGTCATTTTATTGGAATGTTTATGTGCGTAAGATACGCATATGTTTTATACAGTACAAACAGTATAAAATTTGTATTAGCAAATTGCTAAATGTCCTGCTGATTGTTGGCAGTTTCTTGAAAAGATTATTAGGTCTTGAAAAGATTATTAGGTCTGTGCTTTCTGACCCAGTGTGTAGGACTTAGAGTTATTTCAGATGCCTAGGATAACTGGCAGCAGTGGCGGTTCAGTTCCTGGGCTTTTCTGGTAACTCGTTCCTGCTCTGGGACACTTCTGCACTGTGGTAGTCAAGTCAGTTGAGGAGCCAAATGACTAAGATACACTGAAAATACTCCTATTTCCTCCATTTTTTCCAGCTGGATTGTCTTATAGCCTTACTGTGCTGAAAGAAGCGTCAGTAGGAGGCAGTACAACACCAGGAACAAACGCCTGGTGAAGGCAGGGCTGTGTCAGGCTGGCTGGTTCAAAGTGCTGATCTYACGAGCAGCTCTGTGGCATTAGCGCCCCTCGGTGTGGCCACTGTGCAGTACAGCATTGTGAAGGTGGGATGAAGTTCTGGAGACAGGTCAAGCAAATGCATTGAGTGGGGGTCTTATCTACAGCCGATGCTGTGGTTATGGAGGATGCTAAATACAGTTTGGGGCTACTTAGTACTGGAGGAAGAATGTCATGACGACGTGATGCAAAATGGTCTCCTGATATGTGGTTACAACTTTATAATGTATATCTCTTTCTATTATACTCTCTTTTGCCCCTGCTGCCGAAACAGTCACATGGGTTCTGACTTTGATGGAAATTGGGTATCTGATCCGTATCTGATTTGTAGCATGAACTTGTCTGGTTTCAGAGATTATGGGACCACAGCCTTAGCGTGCAGAAATCTGAGTGATGYAAAGTAATCTGCTCCTCAGGTGGCACAATCTGAATTGAGTTTAGGGCAGTTGTGAGGAGGATGAGAGTCTGAAGGAGCAGCTATGCATCACACTCTTCAGGCCAGGGTTTYGACATCAGTTTTAACTTGCCTAAGAGTGAAGTTTCAGGGCAGGATTGACTGAGCCATCTGAGAGCTCACTGCTGCAGGAAGAGGCTCTTTTCAGCTTTTTCCTTTGTCTACTCCTGCTGCATTGTCCAACTTGCTATTTCCTACTTCGTGAGAAACAGACGTTGGGATTTTTTTTTCCAGCCTAAAAGTGAGAAAGAACTAACAACTTCCTTCTATTAATAAACACTGCACTGTTGTGACAAGCCCACCATTTTCACTCTCTTTTTATTCGTAGCCTACTACAATTTTCTGATCTCTACCTCATCAACAGTGACAGTATTTAAGAGATGTTAGAATGGGAAGAGGATGATGTTTACACTGTTTCCCTCATCCCRGTCACTTAAACATTGCTCTCTCTGGTCTCTAATTTTTCTGATGCTCATATGTCAATATAAAAGGTCTAAAATGTTAGGAACAGTACATGGTGTGGCAAGAGAAGGTTGTGTATCAAGGGCTGCAAAGCAGCATGAGGACTGCTTTATGAAGGGCTTATATATTCAGAACAAACTGACTTCCTCTGCTTTCAATCTAGTCAACTATTAGGAGCTGTGAAAGTTATGACTTATATTCTTGTTTAGTAAATTATTATTTAGGATCTTTTCTCTCTAACTCGAGTTAATTTTCTTGCAAGACTTCTAACGTCTGAATGCAGATTTTACAGCATTTTAYAACTTTTGCCTTTAACCAGAAATTTGGCTTGTGGCTAGTATTTCAGGAAGCAAAGGCACATTTGTTGTCTCAGGATGGCTCACCCGACTCAGCCCAACTGGTCCATTCATACATCCATGTTATGTGAAACATATTTCTCTTTTGAAAGGTGACAAATTCATAACATATAAGTG